ACTTCTTATCGACTGACACTGGTAACATACAGGCAACTACCTTACTTTTTGGTTACAAAGAAAAGAATGGAAAGCTCAGCATGGATCCACTATCACTACTTAGAAAAGTAAAGGGTACACCCCTCTCATGATCAGGAGTCAAGAAAGTCACCGTTATACACTTAATAATAATGCAATTTTACATATTTGTGCCCTGGGTTATTCTAAAAAAAAGATTTAAAATGGTTAATGGCCATTAATAGTTTAAAAAAATGTTCGCTTCCCTTATTTTTATTACACTAGAATAATCTTGTTCCACAAAGCAATTAGGAAGTTGGATTTGATTTCTTAGTAAATGTTGCTATCCTTTTACTAAAGGTTTTGTTATATGCTTTCTACGCTGATAAATATAAAGTGCACAGCACAATGCTAGAACATAGTAAGCAACGCATAAAATGTAGTTATTAAACCCACTAGGCTATAAGCTCTGGGAGAGAATGGATTGTCTTGTTTCTGTCTTGTTTAGTTAGCACTGTTTCCAGAACCTAGCCTGCTACCTGGCCCATAGTTGGTATTCAATAAACACTGTTGAATAAACAGTTGAATATGATCCAAGAGTAATTCTCAACTCTCACCTCTTATTTTATGGTTACCAGTGCCCCACCTCCTCTCTAATCAACAGCAAGGTCCTGGAAAAATGATACCCCAGTGGAAAGGCACTTAAGTTCCTGTTTGTATTTCCTGAAACTCACCACAAAGATTCTTTCTTCCCTTCTGTCTCAAACCCCCAAAATCAATGCTTTGTAAATATGTATTCTTAAACAATTTTGCTTCATTTCCCCTCCCAGACAATGCATAAAGTTCCTTAAAACTGCATGACCTTGTCTAGTTCCCTTTACCCTTTAAAGAAAAGGCATATTTGTAAAACCCTATTTTGATTGACAGTTGGTTATCACACAGGCTGCTACTTGTTTTTTTACAATACTTAGTATAAATTAAAATAATATAGGCTTAAAATAATTTTTAAATGTTACACATCAAAGTATACCACATTTTAGAGCACTAAAATTAGGAAGCTGACAAACATTTCAATGACTATTTTATTCATTAAAATATTTTGTTCATTTATTTTCATTCTTGAAAATAAAATTCAGGCGCTGGGTGTGGTGGCTCATTCCTATAATCCCAGCACTTTTGGAGGCCAAGGTGGAAGGTCTGTTTGAGGCCAGAAGTTTGAGAGCAGCCTGGGCAACACAGTGAGACTCTATCTCTACAAAATGAATAAATAAATATTAATAAAATAAAATTCAGAGATTTTTTTTTCTTTTGGAAGTAGAGTTCAGGTCCAGTTCAAGAAGTCACACAAAAAAATTCTGTGCCATTACTTTATAGTTATAACTCCTATCTGACCTAAAACAGTATTATCACCAACATGATTGCCTAATCTTTCTTATCAGACTTGAGTCCAAATTCCCTAAATTATTTGGATTCTAATGAACTGTTATTCCCTAAAATCAAATCTGCTCTCAAAAAATGAAGACAGAGGTCCAGACACGGTGGCTCACCCCTTATCTCAACACTTTGGGAGGCCAAGGCAGGCAGATCACCTTAGGTCAGGAGTTCAAGACCAGTCTGGCCAACACAGTGAAACCCTGTCTCTACTAAAAGTACAAAAATCAGCCCAGCATGGTGTTGCACATCTGTAATTCCAGCTACTTGGGAGCCTGAGGCAGGAGAATCACTTGAACCCAGGAGGCAGAGATTACAGTGAGCAGAGATGGTACCATTGCACTCCAACCTAGGCAACAGAGTGAGACCCCATCTCAAAAAAAAAAAAAAGAGTAACATAGGCTCCAAAGTAGATTCTAAAAGAAGTTCCAAAAAATGTTGTCTGCCACACCTAAAAAGGTACTCATAGGCAGAACAACTCCAGGCCAGGCATGGTGGCTCAGGCCTGTAATCTCAGCACTTTGGGAGGCCAGAGAGGGCAGATTACTTGAGGTCAGGAGTTTGAGACCAGCCTGGCCAACATGGAGAACCCTATCTCTACTAAAAATACAAAAATTAGCTGGGTATGGTGGCGAGCACCTGTAATCCCAGCTACTCAGGAGGCTGAGGCAGGAGAATCACTTGAACCGAGGAGACAGAAGTTTTAGTGAGCCAAGATAGTGTCACTGCACTCAAGCCTGGACAACAGTGTGAGATTTCTTCTCAAAAAAAAAAAAAAGGAAAGAAAGAACACTTCAAATAACTACTCTGAATCTCTGAATAAAATAACATTTACTTGTAAATCTAAATTCTGATATTTCATTCCAACATTAGTTATATTGGTTTATTGTCAATTGTCATATAATTTCAGTTGTATTTTCCTTTACCACTATGCTGTAGGTTACATCTTAAATCCCGTTAGTAGAAATACTACTAAAGAAACAAGCAAATAAAAAAACTCTGCCTCCCTGGAAAGACACACAAGACATTTAACAGTGCTTGTCTTTAAGAAAGAGAGTAGCCGGGTGCAGTAGCTCTCGCCTGTAATCCCATCACTTTGGGAGGCTGAGGCGGGCGGATCACAAGGTCAAGACATCCAGCCCATCCTGGCCAACATGGTGAAACCCCTGTCTCTACTAAAAATACAAAACTTAGCTGGGCGTGGTGGCATGCGCCTGTAGTCCCAGCTACTCCGGAGGCTGAGGCAGGAGAACTGCTTGAACCCGGGAGATGGAGGTTGCAGTGAACCGTGATCGTGCCACTGCACTCCAGCCTGGCGGCAGAGCGAGATTCAGTCTCAAAAAAAAAAAAAAAAAAAAAGAGAGAGAGAGAGTAGAGTGGCTGGTGAACAAAAAGGAAAGGAGACTTTTCACTGAATACCTTTTTAAAGCTTTCAAATTTTATATAATGTCAATGTACTACCTATTTTTTAAAATCTGTTCAATCAAAGTACTTTTAAGTGTCAGATACTGCTGACTTCTATACCACAGAAAAATATACCACTAAAGAAAAGTGGAGTTAGTTTTAATGATACTTCACTGTAAATCTGGATCTCCTGTTCCAGTTCAGAGCTAGTCACCAACAGCAGTGAACTCTTACAAGCAATTCAATTGGAGTTTCCCAAACCCTCAACAGTTGACTTATTCTGCTGTATCACTCCATTAAAATTTAAATAGCATTGAAAACAAAAAGGCGATACTACAGAAATGAATGTGTCAATTCAAGAAAGAAAAAAATGGAAGGATATTAATGAGCCATTATATATATATATATATATATATTTTTTTTTTTTTTTGAGACGGAGTTTCGCTCTTGTTACCCAGGCTGGAGTGCAATGGCGCGATCTCGGCTCACCACAACCTCCGCCTCCTGGGTTCAGGCAATTCTCCTGCCTCAGCCTCCTGAGTAGCTGGGATTACAGGCACGCGCCACCATGCCCAGCTAATTTTTTGTATTTTTAGTAGAGACGGGGTTTCACCATGTTGACCAGGTTGGTCTCGATCTCTCGACCTCGTGATCCACCCGCCTCGGCCTCCCAAAGTGCTGGGATTACAGGCTTGAGCACCGCGCCCGGCCTGAGCCATAAAACATTAAAGGAGCAATGATCCAAATACATCTTTGAAAATTAGCAAATCAAGTAGATATATACATGTATATACTGCATGTAAAATGCTGTAAATCAACTACACACTCTCCTCTCTCTCTGAATGTAAAATGTTGCAAATTCCTTTAAAATGTAAACTGCCACACCGTAAAAATGAGAGAAAGATGTCAAGCACTGTGCATTCTACAACATAAATTAAGCAGCTTGAACTGGAAAACGCAACATGATCTGTTGCTAAACACAATTACACAATCTCAATTACCCAGAAGATTCTACCAAACAGGAAATTCATGATGTGACTTCAGGAAACACAGCAATCATATTTAAAGATTAACACATCCAACAGCCTGGAATTTGTTCCAAAACAAAAAGCGATTTTACAGGCCCCTTTTCAAATCTTGCATACAACACGAATTACTAAAACACAGAAAAAGCTAACCGTTAAATCTGATATTTAGTTTCAGATCCATAGCTTTCAAATTACAAAATCTAAAATACAGGGTATAAAACCTTGGAAGTTAAAGGGCAGTTAGTGAAATATTTCAGGTCTGGAAATCATATGATATCGACCTAATTTAAAACACACTCATAGTGTAAATTAAAGCTAAAAAGTATTTCTTCCCTTCCTTTGCTATGTGGTTCCATTTCTTTACGAAAACCATCATGTACCTCAAGCCATAAATGCAGATAATTCCCTGCAAACTCTCTGAGGGACTTTTAAATCACAGTATTCGCAGGAATTATCTCAAAAAGAAATTTACAATACCTCCCAGCACTGTTAATAACTTTTTGATCTTGAGGGCACCTTACAGATCTGAATCTTTCTTGCTCCAAATGAGAAAATTGTTTTGTCGAACAATACTTAAATGAGCAGTGGTATGTGACTAATCAGTGAGGCTGCCGGTTTCTCAAGCTGCAGTGTTCCTGCAAGCATTACCACCGCCGCCCCTCCACGGAAAGGAAATACGCTTTCAACTGAATCGGAAACACACCACTCAAGCTGGCACAGTGCTCACTGAGATAAAGTCGGTATGTTAAGCTCTAGGGATCGGTGCTAACTCAAGTGCGAATTCAAAAAGAACGCTTCTCAAGATGGGATTTCGACAGAGGTTTGCAAAAAAAACGAAGGGAAAAAAAAAAGCCCGGAGAGAGCTCCCTTTCCTGCTCAGTTTTGTTCAGATGACTGCAGTCTTCGGGTTGGGCTCTGCCCTTCTGCTTCTCCCGGGAGCTCCCCGAGCTTGTCTGCTCAAAGGACAGGCTCCGGCGTCCCAGCGTGGGCGCATCGCGGGAGAAGGTCCTTCTGCTCCAGGTCGGTAGGGAGACCCCCAAGGAAGCAGCCCTCCCCCGGCGCCTGCCGCCGAACAGCAACCCTCCGAGAGGGGAAGGCGCAGGGTGCTAGCCAGAACCGAGGTCCAGCACCACCACCTACCTCTCGCAGCGGACCTGAGGGCAATGCCCTCCCCCGAGGAAAATTCCTGCCACTTGACGCAACGCTGAGCCGTGGGGCAGGTCTGGCCCTCGGGCGCGAGGGATCACCCTGACCACAGCAGCCCCAGCGAGGCCCAGCGACGCTCACCACACAGAGCCATAGGCGCCGGAGCCCACTGGAGACAGGTTTTGTAACGCTCGGGCACCTCCAAGATTGTCTTGTTCAGCTCCTGCGAGGATAGAACGTGGGTCTCTCCTGAGACATTTTCCAGCGGCAGCCGCCAGGCAAGAAGGTGGCCCTGTGGGGCCCCCGCCTGCAACCGCACCCTCTCCCCGGCCGTCGCTGCCCGCCCAACCGGGCGGGGACCTCGCGCTGGTCGCCCGCGCAAGTGCGGCTGCCGCGACCCCGCAGACTCCCGCGCGCGCGCGGCTGCTGTCAGCCGCAGCGGCTGGATGCGCCTCTGCGACTGGGGCAAGCCCCGTTGAGGGCAGGGACGCGCTCCGGCGCTCAAGGCTGCGCCCGCCGCGATCTCTCTGCACCTTCGCCCAGACAAGGCCGACTCTGGGCTGCGTCGCATGACTTCTGCTCCAGCTGCGCCCGCTAAGGATCCAGTGGTCCGGGTTCCAGAGCCGGCAAACGGAAGCCTCCCCCTACTCTCGCGAGAACAGCTCCTGGGACTCTCAGCGAACCGAGATTTTACCCAATATGGAACCTCTCCGCGGGCGGGGCTCCGTGAAAAGAGAATCTAGGAGAAGCAGTTCTCGCGAGAAGACAGCAACAACTGTAGACCAGAGGCGAAATTCCCAGGGACTGTCTCCTTAAGGGCGCGAAGGCGGACTAGGGAAGAAAGAGATAAGCGGGCAGCACACGCCGCGCGCGCCTCACCGTGGCCGGCGGGGCAAATACCTGGCTCTGTGGTGGGAAAAGAGAGGGACAAATAGCATGTTGGGGAAAGAGCCAAAAGATCTTTAACTGAGAGTAGTTACTAGCAGCTGAGCACCTGCTCAACAGAACCCCCAAATTCCAAAAAACACTTGCATAAAAAAGAGACAAGTTCCGGCCAGAAGGCTGTTGCATTCCCATCTGTTCAAGGACATGTGGTTACTCTTCAAGATGCTTGATGAAATCTGCCCCCAAAGACAAATGTCAACCCTGCATCAAAGCTGAGGCTCTCCATTCAAACTCTCCTAGTAGTTCTTAAACTTACACGCAGAAAAATCACTCTGGGAGTTTAAGATGCAAGCTCCGAGGACTCACAGGGAATCTAATTGGGTAGGTCAGAGGATGGCATCAAGAGCATGTATTTTTATAGTACATCTTAGGTGGTTCTGATTCAGGAAAGTCTCTGATATCTCCCTTTGAGAAGCATTAAAAAAAAACCATTACACTGAAGACTTGAAACTGACTCCTATCCTGAAGAGCCATCAGTGAAGAGGATTTTAAGCATTTAACTTAGGCCTCTTGGAGTAAGAAGAGTAGGGCAGGAGTCTCATCAAATTTAGGCATGTCAATTGACCTTTCCTGAACCCTTAGTTCAGGAAAACCCTTAGGAATTTCTGCCCTGCATTCCCGATGAACAGAGTCATGTGTAAAAACTAAACAAGATAAATGTGAATGGGCAAGGCATTATAACCTCATGCCTACATCCATTATCAACCTACACCTATGCTAAAGCTTGTTACAATGAGCAGAAGAATCAGATCCTGTCTGATTCTCTTAGTTTCTTGTATTAGAAATAACTGGGTACAAGCCAGGACATTTCTCATCATTTCCCATGATTATTCTATTTTGTGTCATACACACCTTGGAGGGCTCAGACTTTGCCTATCTTGTCCCAACATCTCGCACAGTGTCTAGAACATAAAACATGTCCCATACGTATTTGTTGAAAAATTATGAACAATCACCATGATTTCAATTTAGGAGGTGGTACAGGATCCTCAGTCCTCCTCAAGGAAAGCAACATAAAACCAAAAAACAGAGCCATGGGTGAATCATGGAAAGCTGTCTTGGATCCAATGTAGCTTAGCTGGAATTCTCTTATCTATAAAAACATAATGCTTGAGAATGTTCCAAACTAGGGAGGCTAGGAAGCTTTCTAAGATGTAATGGAGGGTGAAGGGGAAGTAAGAGTAAAAACATGATTGTGAAGAAGAGAGGGGTGGGGTGGGGGCATCAAGGGAATGAAGGAATGGTTACAAGGGGTGAGGAGGAAGGCTGGAAGTAGGAATCCTCAGAAATGCACATTTTTACCCTACAAATTGGGATGATGAGGTGAGGGCAAATAAAAGGGCAAAGATAAAGTAAGCAGTTTATTTGTATGCTCATTCAACAAATGTATATTAGATGCCTACTGGGTGCCAAGCACTTGTAGTTAAAAAGTAATTTAAAACTACAGTTGCTGCCTGTGTGGAGCTTACAATCAATGGGAGGGCAATCATTCAACACAAATTTGTTGAACACTTCCTATGTCCACCACACTGTTGTGGGCACTGATAATAAAACAGTTACTGAAAGGGATAAAAATCCCGGCCCTCATGGGGGTAAGACAATTTACAAGAAGGAATACATAAAGTGAATAATAAGGTAGACACTAACACAGTCATCAAACAAGTGTAAAACTGTAACTGGGCCAAGCAGGAATACAAGGTGGAGTGAGAGACAGCGATGGGGACAGGGATAGGGTGCGAGCAGGGTAAAGAGAGTGAGTGCAGAGGGCAAGTCTGCCTGCGGAGCCGAAATCTGGGCAGGAGGGTGTCATCCAGTGCGGGGAGCCAGGCTTGTGGGGCCGAGGGCTATGGTTGGAGACCTGGGTGACCTTCCTAGCCTCTATTTCCTTTTACCTCTTCTGACCTGAGGAAGGCTTAAGTCTTCGGGAGATGTTAGTGAATTACCGTCTGTGCAGTAGGCTTGTGCATTACTGTATGTTCAGAGCACGAGGCTGGGCACCAAATAGGCCCTCGATCAGGAATAGTAAAACCTCGGAGAGAGTAGGAGAGCGTTGGCCTACAGGTACCGAGGTTTACCAAGTACTGGCTCAAGTCTGAGGAGGGCGGCCCAGATACCCCTTTCCTGGCTCCCCAGCCCAGCTGTTCATGCTCTTCTTTCTCGTCCCCTCACCCACTCTCATCTCCTGCCCACCCGGAACGCCGGCGGGATCGGCCGCAACGGTTCGGGAACCGCCGGTGTCCGCGTCCTCAGCGCCGCCAGCTAGGCGGGAGCGGTGTGGGACCCCAGCGCCCCACTCCCGCCCCCGCCAAGGAGCAGGTGAGCCGCTGCCGCTGATGGGAGACGCCCGGGCTCCGGGAACTGAAGGCGGTGAGCGGCGAGGCCAAGGCGAGTCCCCAGGCAGGGGCTGCGTCGGTCATCAACAGGTACCCAGGTGTGCCACAGGGCCAGTCACGTCGCGGGCGCTCAGTCAATATCTGTGGAATGAATGAATGAATGAATGACGGTCGTCCCTGGAAGCTTGTCTCTCAGGTATTGTCTCTACTTTCAAAGGCCATGTGGATGGCAATGACAATCGACCCTGTGCGCGTTTTGCAAGCTGCGTCCTTTCAAATTCGCCTATCTATATTGTCAAAAGCCCCAGAACTGATGTGCTGCCTGCACCCCACCGCCTACTCCATCCATTTCCTCCTGAGGTCTGACTGCCCAGAGTTCCTCCTCCTTTCAGTCCTCGCTGCTTTTGTTCATTTTATTCCCTGCGACTGAATCCCCACCCCCACCTCCTTGCCCCTTTCTTTTCCTGTCAAATGCCATTTATGTGTCAGGGGCCCCTTCTGAAGCAGGTGCCTTCTCCAGTACCCCCACCCCAATAATGAGCATCTCTCCAACAGACCCTGTTACTCTCTCCACATCGCATGGAAGGTGGTTGTCCAATGTTTATGTGTCCAGTGGTCTCCGCTTAAGGCCTGTCATCTTATTAAGTCATCCCCAGCCACTAGCCAGAGTGACTGAAGCTTCCATCTAAAGGCTAGGCTCTTTGCTCATACCTTTTCTGTACTCCCAATACATTCTCCATAAAAACCTGGGTAGTAACCGGCTGAGGGTTGTTTCTGATGGAATTACAAATGCTTATTTTGAAATTTTCGAAGTGAATTTCACCTTTCCATGATTATAGAAAACATAAGAAGGCCGAGCACAGTGGCTCACGCCTGTAATCCCAGCACTTTGGGAGGCTGAGGCAGACGGATCACCTGAGTTCAGGAGTTCAAGACCAGCCTGGCCAACATAGTGAAACCCCGTCTCTACTAAAAATACAAAAAAATTAGCTGGGCATAGTGGTGGGTGCCTATAATCCCAGCTACTTATGGAGGATAAGGCAGGAGAATCCCTTGAACCCGAGAGGCAGAGGTTGCAGTGAGCTGAGTTTGCGCCATTGCACTCCAGCCTGGGCGACAAGAGCTAAACTCAGTCTCAGAGAAAAAGAAAAAGTAAAAGAGAGAGAGAAAGAAAGAAAACATAAGAAAGTTAACAATATCGGGCGGGGGGGGAAGATATTCCTGCAACTAAACTAGTTTTCAGGATTTGATATCATTTGGGTCAATAGCCAAAAAATTGGATTGTATTTAAACTTTTTATTCTTGACCTTTTTTTTTTTTTAGACAGAGTCTTACTCTGTTACCCTGGCTGGAATGCAGTGGTGCGATCTCAGTTCACTGCAACCTCTGCCTCCTGGGTTCAAGCAATTCTCCTGCCTCAGTTTCCCAAGTAGCCAGGACTACCAGCACACCACTGCGCCCAGCTAATTTTTGTATTTTTAGTAGAAAGGGGATTTTGCCATGTTAGCCAGGCTGGTCTTGAACTCCTGACCTCAGATGATTCAACCACCTTGGCCTTCCTAAATTCTGGGATTACAGGCATGAGCCAGTGAGCCATGCCCAGGCTATTTTTTACTTTTAAAACACTCTGAACACAGATAATATAAATTAATAAATGGATGGATGGATGGATGAATGGATTGATAAGGGTAGTATGGCAGGTGAAAGAGCTAGGCCAAAAGTGCTTGTATTTTAATAATGCCCCCACACTTAGCACTGAAAGACTGACTAAAGATAATCCACTATGTTTATAGTGGTATTCATACTTTAATTTTTATCAGAATCACCTGGATAGCTTCTTTTCTTTTTTTCTGCCTAGCAAGACCTACTGAATCAGAATCTCTGGGGGCCCAGCAGTCTGGACAGCTTCTTAAAACAGACTGCTGGGCCCCCAGAGTTTCTGATTCAGTAGGTCTTGCTAAGTGGAGCCTACTCAACAGTAGGAGTTTCTGGTCATTACATCTTGTTGGGAAGGGTCCTGCTAGTACATGAAAATGAGTCACTAGGGTTTCTATGAAACCAGGAAAGACATAATGGAGCTGGAGAAATTCCAAAGAAGATTACTAAAAATAACAATAATAACAAGGAAACCGTGTGTTTTCCCTTGCTGCTGTTAGCCAGACATTTGATGGAGTTCCTTAAAGACAACTTTCCACCTGCCCCTCCTAGCCATCCTCACTGTGGCCATAGGAGTTTATGACTTGATAACCTCTCCTAGACTATTATAATATTAATGCTCTCCAACTGTCCGTTTTACCTCATTCTCTCCTATCTCCAACACTGTCCAATAGAATTTTTTGTGATGATGGAAGTTAACCTGCACCGTCCAGTAAGGTAACCACTGGCCATATGTGGCTCTTGAGCACTTGAAATCTAGCTATTATCACTGAGGAACTGAATTTTTAATTTTATTTTAAGTTTAAATAGCCACATGTAGCCAGTGGCTACCACACTGGACACCTCAGCTCTAGAACATCGTACTGGCATATTTCATCTTCCCAGAGTGCATCTCTGTGTTTATTACTACTTCTGCTCAAAGATTTTAAATAGGCTGGGCATGGTGGCTCAAACCTGTAATCCCGGCACTTTGGGAGGCCAAGGCATGTGGATCGCCTGAGGTAGGGAGCTCAAGACCAGCTTGGCCAACATGGTGAAATCCCCGTCTCTACCAAAAATATAAAAATTAGCTGGGAGTGGTGGCAGGCACCTGTAATTCCAGCTACTCAGGAGGCTGAGTAAGGAGAATCACTTGAACCTGGGAGGCGGAGATTGCAGTGGGTCAAGATTGGGCTGCAGCACTCCAGCCTGTGTGACAGCACCAGATTCCATCTCCAAAAATAAAAATTAAAAAATGTGTGTGTGTGTGTGTGTGTGTGTGTGTGTGTGTGTGTGTAAAGTAACTGACCATATTTTCAAGCCAGAAAATTCCACATAAAAATCTGGCATTATGGCTTCCCCTGGAAAAGATCAGATCTAAGCCATTCTGGGCCCCACATTGACCAATGGCAAGAATGGCTGGAGCTAAGCAGCTTCTGCTGCCTTTGCCAGCCCCACTGTTCCCACCACTCCTTGATGGTCCTATTTTGCCTATTTTACACCAATCCTGCTTTAATGTCAAAAGTAAAAGGTAAAGGGATAAGAATGTTCACTAATGATGGGATTATAGGCGCCTGCCACCACGCCCGGCTAGTATTTTTAATAGAGATGGGGTTTCACTATCTTGGCCAGGCTGGTCTTGAACTCCTGACCTTGTGATCCACCCGCCTTCGCCTCCCAAAGTGCTGGGATTACAGGCGTGAGCTACCAACCTGGTCAAGTTTATGTTTTTTTTAATTGTTCAAAGCACAGAATATTAAGAATGGTTATACTTTCTGGGTACTTTTTTTTTTTTTTGAGAGGGAGTTTTGCTCTTGTTGCCCAGGCCGGAGGGCAATGGCGTGATCTCGGCTGACTGCAACTTCCGGGTTCAAGCCATTCTCTTGCCTCAGCCTCCCGAGTAGCTGGAATTATAGGCATGCACCACCAGGCCTGGCTAATTTTGTATTTTTAGTAGAGACAGGGTTTCTTCATGTTGGTCAGGCTAGTCTCGTACTCCTGATCTTAGGTGATCCACCTGCCTCGGCCTCCCAAAGTGCTAGGATTACAGCCATGAGCCACAGCGCCCAGCCAAGAATGGTTACACTTTCTCACAGAGATGGATCCCTATCTATCCTCATTTACTCTACCTTTTCAATCTTTTAAAAGAGCAGGATAATATAGGGTATTTTTTTCTTTTTGAGACAGGGTCTTGCTCTGACACCCAGGCTGGAGTATAGTACAGTGGTACTACAATCCTGGCTCACTGCAGCCTCCACATTCTGGGCTCAGATGATCCTCCCACCCTCATCGGCCTCCTGAGCAGCTAGGACTACAGACCCATGCCATCACGCCCAGCTAATTTTGTTTCTATTTTTAGTAGAGTCAGGGTTTCACCATGTTGCCCAGTCTCAAACTTCTGTAGCTTTTTCTTCTAGACCATGAGGCCACTAACTATATACTTGGCAGCCGTTCAAGAAATATTTGTTAAGGGCCTGCCAAGTGAAAGGCATTATTTTGGGTCCTGGGGCTGCCACTGTGAACAGTCATAGTCCTGCCCCCCGGCTTTACATTTTATGGGGGAACCAGACAATGGACAAACAGACAAATAATGAATCTAGTGCTGGCAAGTGAAGAAAAGTAAAAGGTGAAGGGTTAATGATGGCTGCTATTTTAGATAGAGGAGGAGTTAGAACACTTGTATTGAGCATTTAACCCTTCCTATATGCTGGATAGTGAGCATTTTCAATAAAAATTGTTGATCGATACTGTCTACCTCTTGCTCATTTTCCTGCAACATATCAACACAGTTGAATATAAAGAAAACTAGGCCTCCCAGCAGGACACCTGGGTTCTAATCCTAGCTCTAATAAGTATCTGACAGCAGACACTGTTTGAACTTCTGGGTTTTGTTGTCTCCATTTGAAAACTGAGAAGAATACACATAAAATTGTGCAACATTGAGTAAGTTTGGTACAACTGAAACATGCTAGGCAAGTGTAAAGCATTTTTACATAGGAATTTTATTTCCTCAAAAATGTGCTGAGGATCTGGATTACTTAAAATGCTTTTTTATTTTATCTCTTTCCAGTCAGCCAGGAATGGCACAACTGGAGAGGAGCACCATCTCTGGCTTCAGCTCTAAGTCCACGCAAAACCCCTTCGCATACGATATTAAACGCGAAGTGTACAATGAGGAGAGCTTTCAACAGAAACACAAAAGGAAGGCCTCCTCTTCTGGGAACATGGACATCAACATCACCACCTTCAGACACCATGTCCAGTGCCGGTGCATGTGTCCGATCATTCAGCTGCCACTGAGCCGGGCAGGACTGAAACCTAACCTGACTCCTTTGGTGTCCACTTCTGTCTTTCTTGTCTGAGTTCTTGTAATCAGAATCCTGCAGTTTATTGTGTAATTTTTCTTCAGTCATTTTTGTGGTTTGTCTTGTAGCACCTTTTTGACTGTAAACTTCTTGGGCGTAAAGACCGTGGGTGTCCCTACAGTATCTCAGGAGGACATTTCATAATTCTCTTGTTCAATCGACCACCACTACCAGACTCTTGACAAAAAGTAAGATAGCCAGTTGGGAGCGGTGGCTCACGCCTGTAATCTCAGCACTTCAGTAGACTGAGGTGGGAGGATCACTTGAGGCCAGGAGTTTGAGACCAACCCGGGCAACATGGTAAAACTCTGTCTCTACTAAAAATACAAAAATTATCCAGGCATGGTGGCACATACCTGTAATTCCAGCTGCCTGAGAGGCTGAGGCATGAGAATTGCTTGAAACTGGGAGGCAGAGATTACAGTGAGCTGAGATTGCGCCACTGCACTCCAGCCTGGGCAACAGAGCAAGATTCCATCTCAAAAAATATTAATAATAATGGCTGAGTGCAGTGGCTCATGTCTGTAATTCCAGCACTTTGAGAGGCTGAGGTGGGCAGATCACCTGAGGTTGGGAGTTCAAGACCAGCCTGACCAACTTGGAGAAACCCCGTCTCTACTAAAAATACAAAATGAGCCAGGCATGGTGGCACATGCCTGTAATCCCAGCTACTCAGGAGGCTGAGGCAGGAGAATCGCTTGAACCCGGGAGGTGGAGGTTGCAGTGAGCCAAGATTGTACCACTGCATTCCAGACTAGGCAACAAGAGCAAAACTCCATCTCATATAATAAAAACGATAATAATAATAATAATAATAATAAGATAGCCATGGTGAACTGATTAATGGTAGGGGAATGAGATTCTTCTAGTCTCATATCCAATAGTGCCCTCATAGTGGTACTCATGATCATCAAGGCAGAATCTACCACCACCACCTCTGATATACCCTGTGACTAGCTAAGTCCTACAGTTCAGGGGCTCTTAACCTGAACCTTCTAGCCCTCTGATAAAGTTAATCAACTTCTTTCAGAATAATTTTTTAATGCTTTTTATTGTGGTAAAACATGTATAACATAAAATTGGCTATTTTGACCATTTTAAAAGGTACAATTCAGTGGCATGATTGACATTCGCAATGTTGTGCAACTGTCACTGCTATCTATTTCCAAAACTTTTTCATCACCTCAGAAATTCTGTTAAGCAATAATTCCCCATTTCCGCTACCCTCAGCCCGACTAACCTCTCTTCTGCTTTCTGTCTCTGTGAATTTGCCTATTCTAGCTATTTCATTTAAGTGGAATCATACTATATGTTTGTCTTTTTGTGTCTGACTTATTTCACTTAGCATAATGTTTTCAAGTTTCATTCATATTGTAGCATGTATTAGAACTTCATTTCATTTTATGGCTGAATAATACTCCATTATATTTATATACCACATTATGTTCATTTCGTTAATGGACATTTGAGTTGTTTCTACCTTTAGGCTACTGTAAATAATGCTGCCAGGAACATTGGCACAGGAGAGCTGTTTGAGTCTGTTTAGGGACATAGCTAGAACTAGAATTGTTGAATCACATCATACATCTGTGGTACATTTAACGTTTTAAGGAGCTGCCAAACTGTTTTCCACAGTAGCTGCACCACTTTACATTTTCATTGGCAATATACAATTTCTCCATGTCCTCTCCAACATTTGTCATTTTCCGTTTTTTAAATTATAGCCAACCTATTAGGTATGAAATGGTATCTCATTGCAGTTTTTGTTTTTGTTTTTTACTTGCATTTTCCTGATGACTAAAGACAATGAGCGTCTTTTGGTGTGCTCATCGGTTAACCGTGTATCTTCTGTGAAGAAATGTCTATTCATTTTCCTTTGTCCTTTGTAAAATTAGGTTGTTTGTCTTTTTGTTGTTGAGTTATAGGAGTTCTTCATATATTCTGGATATTAAACTTTTATCAGATATATGTTTGTAAATCTAACAAATTTGTAAATGTTTTCTCCCATTTGGTAGGTCATCTTTTCACTCTGTTGATAGTGTCCTTTGATATAGAAAAGTTTTTTTGGGGGGTTTTTTTTTTTTTTGCAATGAAGTTTCACTCTTGTTGCTCAGGCTAGAGTGCAATGGCATGATCTCTGCTCACTGCAACCTCTGCCTCCCGGATTCAAGCAATTCTCCTGCCTCTGCCTCCTGAGTAGCAGGGACTACAGGCATGTGGCACCACACCTGGCTAACTTCTGCATTTTTAATAGAGATGGGTTTTTGCCATGTTGGCCAGGCTGTTCTCAAACTCCTGTCCTCAGATGATTCACCCGTTTAAGCCACCGTGCCTGGCTGATGTAGAAAAGTTTTCCATTTTGATGAAATTTAATTCCTGTATTTTCTTTTGTTGCCTGGACTTTTGGTGCCATATTTAAGAAACTATTGTCAAATTCAAGATCATGCATGTTTTCTTTTTTTTCTTTTTTCTTTTTTTTTTTGAGGCAGAGTCTCAATCTGTCACCCAGGTTGCAGTGCAGTGGCACAATCTCTGATCACTGCAACCTCCACCTCCCAAGTTCAAATGATTCTCCTGCTTCATCTCCTGAGTAGCTGGACTACAAGTATGTACCACCATGCCCAGCTAATTTTGTATTTTTAATAGAGACTGAGTTTCACCCTATTGGCCAGGCTGGTTTCAAACTCCCGACCTCAAGTTATCCACCCCACTTGGCCTCCCAAAGTTCTGGAATTACAGGCATGAACCACTCCCAGCTGAAATCATGCATATTTTCATCTATGGTTTCTTCTATGAATTTTACAGGCTGGGGGTGGTGGCTCACACCTGTAATCCTAGCACTTTGGGAGGACAAGGTGGGTGGATCACCTGAGGTCAGGAGTTCAAGACCAGCCTGGCCTTTATGGTGAAACCCCATCTTAAAAAAAAAAAAGAAAAAAAGAATTTTACAGTTTTAGCTTTTAAATTTAGGTCTTTGATCCTTTTTGAATTAATGTTTGTATATAGCGTAAGTAAAGGTACAGCTTTATTCTTTTTACATGTAGGTATTTGTTTTCCCAGCATAATTTGTTGAAGAGATTGTCTTCACCTAATCAATGATCTTGGCCAAATAATTTTTTAATGCATAAAATAAGCAGGATTATAAGAAAAACCAGTTACATTGAAATACAGTTATCTAAATATCAAAAATACCAAAATTGTGTTATCTAGTAATGTAGGTCTAATAACTACCATAATTTCTAAGTAGTGATGAATGTAACTAATATTTCAAGATCTCTGTAGCAATTGTACTGTAATATACAAATGTTTGTGATTTTTATTGGTGAAAAAGTAAAGTTCTGCTGATACTACTGTGATTTGTTGCCAACATTCATAATTGAAGGAAATGCTAAAGAGGTTAGTGAAATAAAGATATAAGTTATCCTATATAATTTTACACATATCCCCAAATATTATCTAAAGACCGCTTGGGGGTCCACAAACTTCAGGTTAAGAGTCCTTCATGACCTACCTCATTATAGTAATCATAATTATTCAAGTTGTCCTCACTCATACTCTGAATTTATGAGTCCCTCTTATCCACTGGTTTATCACCCACAATTGGCACATGTTTGTATGTTGACATGTTGGTGACAAGTATGGAAGATCCCTACACAGTCCTGCTCCAGACTGTCCCCTCCTTGAGGCATTCTCCTTTGCCCATATCCTGACTTTTGCAAGTTGTGGTCTTGGATCCCCCTCCCTAGTCCTCTCACTTCCTCTGCTCCAGGATGGGTCAGATACATGTGCCAAAGAGGGCATTTGGGGACAACATTGGCTTTGTCTCTACAATGTAATAGTCTTTATTTTTTTCTTTTGAGACAGAATCTGCTCTGTCACCCAGGCTGGAGTGCAATGGCACGATCTCAGCTCACTGCAATCTCTATTTCCCAGGTTCAAGTGATTCTCCTGCCTCAGCCTCCCAAGCAGCTGGGATTACAGGTGTGCACCACCATACCTGGCTAATTTTGTTGTATTTTTAGTAGAGACAGCGTTTCACCATGTTGGTCAGGCTGGTCTTGAACTCCTGACCTCATGATCGCCCACCTCGGCCTCTCAAAGTGCTGGGATTACAGGCGTGAGCCACCAAGCTAGTCTTTTTTTCTAACTGTACCCTCATTATAAATAAGTATTCCCAATGAAATTTCACCCTACCTTTTCTCTACCTTCCTTACTTACTTAGCCTTGCCATCCAGACACTTAAATCTGACTCATTCTGCCTCCCATGAGCTTTATAGCAACTGTTACTCCCTGCTTCTAAAACATACAGTTCTCTCCACTCCTGAATTTTAACCAGAAATGTGGCACAGCACAGGGGTTAAGAGCACAATTCTGAAGCCAGGCTGCCTGGTTTTGAATCCTAGTTCTGCTTCTCAGCTATGTGACCTTAGGTAAGCTATTGAACCCAACCCTGCTGTGCCTCAGTTTCCTCATCTGTAAGACGAACATGATAATAGCACCTGCCTCATAAAGCATGAGGATTGAAAGAGCATTTGTAAAGCACCTAGGAAACAGCTCTAGATAATGAGTTTTTTTATGTAAATAAAATTATCTTTTAACCTCATCTCTTCCTTTCTGCAGAAAACTTACTCTTTCCCCGTTTTCTTCCTCTTTTGCAACTGTAAATCTCCACTCATCAAAATCTCCCGTGTGCTTTCATTTTGATTCTTCCATTTCTCACTTTTAAGATGTCTTAACTAAAATCCAGATTCATGTCTAAATCCAGATTCAAATGCTAATACTATTCCCTCATCAGTTTCAACTTCTGTTCCTCTAATTCCCTCCTTAGTTCCTGTCACTCTTAAAGCCTCATCTCTCCATGTCTGTTGTATTTTTCACCTTGGGGAAGAGCTTTGATGACTCTGCCTTGGATGGCTTGTCTTACCCTAAAGTGACTGACACACAGAGAAGAAGGGGGACTGAACCAGGTAAAGAAACAAACCGTTCCAGTACCATGCTCTGCTCCGCTCCACAGAGGCTCATAATTAGAAAGAGCACACTTTGAACACCTGCCTCACACCCAAGGACTCTCCTAAGAACAGCAATGTGATGTTTCTTCCAAACCAGTGGTCGTCCTCATGGCTGCCAAGCAGTATTTCACAGCTGCCAAGAGAAACTTTGGAGGTAGGAGAGTGGCTAGAACACTGAACTAGAAATCAAAGACTTGGTTTCTAGCCCCATGTCTGCTCACACTTATTCCTGTGACCTTGGTAATGTCATGTTTATTTGGCATTAATTACCTTAGCAATAGTAATGCTCATAGTTGTGAGAGTAAAACAGGTTTTCTCAATCTCAGCGTCATTGACATTTTGGACCAGAAAATTCTTTCTTGTGGAGAAATGTCCTTTGCATTCTATAATGTTTAGCCTCTACCCACATGTCAATTGCAAGAATAAAAAATGTCTCTTGATTGGGCATGGTGGCTCATGCCTATAATCCTAGCACTTTGGGAGGCCAAGGCGAGCAGATCATCTGAGATCAGGAGTTCAAGACCATCCTGGCCAACATGGTGAAACCCATTCTCTTCTAAAAATACAAAAATTAGCTGGGCATGATGGTGCATGCTGTAATCCTAGCTACTCGAGAGGCTGAAGCAGGAGAATCACTTGAACCTGGGAGTTGGAGGCTACAGTGAGCCAAGATCATGCCACTCACTGCACTCCAGCCTGGGTGACAGAGCAAGACTCCATCTAAAAAAAAAAGTCTCTGGACATTGCCAAATGTACACAAGGGAACAAAACTGCACCTAGGAGGGATTTACTGGGCTAAAGGATAATAAAGCCTTATTTTATAAAATTGTTTCTTTACATAACTAAGTCCTTAAGCACAGGACATCATATTCTCTGTTTTCTGCTAATTTCTACATGTCACAGGTCAAAGTATGACAGAATAAATATTTGGTAAAAATTGTGCAGGCTGGGCGTGGTGGCTCATGCCTGTAATTCCAGCACTTTGGGAGGCTGATGTGGGCAGATCACCTGAGACCAGAAGTTCGAGACCAGCCTGGTTAACATGGTAAAACCACATCTCTACTGAAAATACAAAAATTAACCAGGCGTGGTGGCACATGCCTGTATTCCCAGCTACTTGGGAGGCTGAGGCAGGAGAATAGCTTGAACTCAGGAGGCAGAAGTTGTAGCAAGCTGAGATCACGCCACTGCACTCCAGCCTGTGTGACAGAGCAAGACTTGGTCTCAATAATAATAATAAAAAAAAAAATTAGTGCCATGCTCTACTCTCCTCCACAGAGGATCATAATTAGAAAAAACACTCTTTGTGCACCTGCCTTGTACTTGGGGACTCTCCTAATTGGGAATGACATGAATGTGTTAACTGCCCTTCCATCTTTCAATGTCCCATCTCAAAACACTGTCCTTGTCAAGAGAAAACAATAGCAGTCCATTTTTCTATTGAAAATTTGGTAGATTTAATTCTTCCCAAATAGCCTATAAAAACACAGAACCGATTATATGCGGCTGTATATGGCTTGGTTCTTGACATATACATAGCACTTGGTTCTGAAGCTAAGGTGATTTAATCCCCCAGGGAATATCTTTATGTCTGGAGACATTTTTAGCTGTTACAGCCGAAGGAGGGAGTTCTACGGATTTCAAATGGTTAGCGACAAGGGATGCTGCTAAACATCCTGTCATGCACAGGACAGCCCACCAAAGAATTATCTGGTCCAATATGTCAAACTGTCAGTAGTGCTGATAAGACTCTGCTATTTTTTGGCTATGTGGGCCAAATGCCTTTTCTTGGCTATGCAGGCATTTTCTTTGGAGAAACTAACCAAGTCTCTTCTCTCTCACAGCTGCTCATGGCACAGGTTCCTACGATGCATGCTTACAATCTTTCCCTTCCTAGAATGGATGTGTATGTATCGATTCAAGGATTGGCTTCTTGGCGACTTACTTGCTGGTATAAGTGTTGGCCTCGTGCAAGTTTCCCAAGGTAAGGAAGACCTAAAGCCTGTTCATCCAAAGACAATAAATCAGACCTTGTCCACATACCCAGGGTAAAAAAATTACTTGTGCTAGATGAATAGAAAAAAAATTGAATTTTATTCACAGCATTACCATTTGTTTTCTTATCTGCCAGATTTTCTAACCTCTCCAGAGTGGTTCCAAAAGACTTGGTTTAGATTAAACCCCTGAATGCTTTCCAGAGTACTTGCAACACCCACTCTTGGTTATTTTTTCCCTTAACTAGCTATTTCATACTTACAACTATAATACATCTCACTTGGCATTGGTTTTACCTAGAAAGGTGAAGGATGGGCCAGGCATAGTGGCTCATGCCTGTTATCCTAGCACTTAGGGAGGCCAAGGCAGGCAGATTGCTTGAGCTCAGGAGTTCCAGACCAGCCTGGCTAACATGGTGAAACCTTGTGTCTACAAAAAGTACAAAAATTAGTGGGGCATGGTTGCAAATGCCTGTAGTCCTAGTTACACTGGAGGCTGAGGGTGGGAGGATCACCTGAGCCCAGGAGGTTAAGGCTGTAGTGAGCAGTGATCACACCACTGTACTCCAGCTTGGGCAACAAAGCGAGACACTGTTTCAAAAAAAAGAAAAAAAGTGAATAATAGGAAACATAGCATACCAGCATCTCTCCAGCAAGTGACAGGCAATCCAGTGCCCACTCTTTGGTCTTCCAAGTAGCAGTTCAGATGCAAGACAACAAGATCACACAGATAGGAGTGGGAGCTTATCTGGGCTTTACAAACCTAATTTCCCAAATAGGAATCAACGACTCTTGTAACAGTTCCATAAATATTGCTTCCAGAGTCCCACAAAAGACATGTCCAGTTATAAGAGTCCTATTCTCAGCAAATCCCAAAGGTAGGGCTTCCAACTGGATATTTATCTTTCATTCACAGTCCTCTTAGTCCAGATGGAGTATACTATTTGGGCTCATTTTTACCATAAGCAATTCTGCCTGGTAACACAGCTAACATGCTACCATTATAAGGTTTCCAGGGAAACAGAGCTAGAAAGTTAACCCAAGGTCAAATTCATCCTCAAAAAATAGAATGGATTTTATAAATCCTTTACTCACAGTAGTTTATAGTTCCCCACATAGTCTTTAAACACCTCCATTTCTCTATTTTTCTGAGGCCCAACAGGCAGGGGTGAAGCCTGTGATTGGGCAGGTTATAGATATCACAAAAGAGGTCAACAAGATGGACGAGTTGTGGCTGAAATCCAACTCTAGCACAGCGCTGTTAATTGGGGAAGACAGATAACTTTTTAAATCTTTATTTACTTGTTTATAAATTTCAAATAGTAAAATTGCTTTTTTCCCTTTGGGTGTATAGTCAGATTAATTTTAACACATATGGCTGGGACCAGAGCACACCTGTAATCCCAGCACTTTGGGAGGCCTGGGCAGGTTTAAGACCAGCCTGGGCAACATAGCAAAACCCTATCTCTACTAAAAATACAAAAATTAGCTGGGCATGGTGGTGTGTGGCTGTAATCCCAGCTACTTGGGAGGTGGAGGCAGGAGAATCACTTGAACCCGGGAGATGGAAGTTGCAGCAAGCCAAGATCATACCACTGCACTCCAACCTGGGTGACAGAGTGAGCCTCTTTCTCAAAAAAAAAAAAAAAAAAAAAAAAAGATGAACACATATATAGATTTGTGTAACTACCACCACAATCTGGATGCAGAGCAGTTTCATCACCTCCAGAACTCTCTTGTGCCATACCTTTTGTCACATCCTCCTCCCGATCTATAACCCCTAGCAACCACTGATCTGTTCTTCAGCACCATCATTCTGTCTTTCTGAGCATATCATATAAATGGAATCATGCAGTATGTAAATTTCAAAGGCCGGCTTCTTTCATTATGCATTATGCCTTTGAGATTCACACAAATTGTTGTGTGTATCAATAGTTCATTTTTATTGCTGAGTAATATTCTACAATAGGGATATATCACAGCTTGTTTATCCATTCACTTGTTGATAGAGATTTTGTTTCTAGTTTTGGTCTGTCACAAATGAAGTTGCTATGGACATTCATATACAAGTTTTGTGCGAACACAGGTTTCATTTTACTAAGGTGGAGCTGGATTGCTGGTCATATGGTAAGTGTATGTTTACCTTTATAAGAAACCACCAAACCGTTTTCCAGAGTGGTTTTTGCTACCATTTTACACTCCCACCAGCAAAGTGTAAATAAGAATTTCATTTCCTCCACATCCTCATCAGCATGTGATATTGTCAATATTTTAAAAATTACACTATTTTGAAATAATTATACATTCACATGCATTTGTAAGAAACAACAGATAGAACCCATGTACCGTTTACCCAGTTTCCCCAATGGTAATATCTTGCAAAACTATAATTCAGTCTCACAACCAGGATATCAACATTGTTTCAAATAAGATAGAGAACACTTCCACCACCACAAAGGTCCCTCAAGTTGTCTTTTTTTTTTTAAGAGACAGGGTTTCACCATGTTGGACAGGCTGGTTTCGAACTCCTGACCTCAAGTGATCCACCTGCCTCGGCCTCCCAAAGTGCTGGGATTACAGGCGTGAGCCACTGCGCCTGGCCAAGTTGTCTTTTTATAGCCACCACTACCTGCCTCCTGTCCTCGTCTCCTCTTACTCCCTACCAATCATTAATATGTTCTTCACTTCTACAATTTTAACATTTCAAGGAAGTTACCTAAAGGGAATCATATAGGATTTAACCCTTTATTATGGTTTTTTTTTTCACTCACCATAATTCTGTGGGGATTCATCCAGATTGTTGTATATATATATCAGTTGTTTATTCTGGGCACGGTGGCTCACACCTGTAATCCCAGCACTTTGGGAGGCTGAGGCAGGCAGATGACCTCAGGTCAGGAATTCAAGATGAACCTGGCCAACGTGGCAAAACCCTGTCTCTGCTAAAAATACAAAAATTAGCCAGGCGTGGTGACAGGTGACTGAAATTCAGCTATTCTGGAAGCCGAGCCAGGAGAATCGCTTGAGCCCAGGAGGTGGAGGTTGCAGTGAGCCAAGATCATGCCCCTGCACTCCAGCCTGGGTGGCAGAGTGAGATTATGTCTCAAAAAAAATTGTTTATAACTTTTTATTTTTCAGTAATAGTCCATGATATATGTATCACAGTTCATTTAAATATTTACCCACTGAAGGATATCTGGGTTGCTTCCAGGTTTTGTTTTGTGATAAGAACATTCACGTGCAGGTGTTTTTTGTTGTTGTTATTTGTTTTGTTTTGTTTTTTGAGAGGGAGTCTCACTCTGTCACCCAGGCTGGAGTACAGTGGCACAATTTTGGCTCACTGCAAACTCCGCCTCCTGGGTTCAAGCGATTCTCCTGCCACAGCCTCCTAAGTAGCTGGGATTACAGGTACACACCAACATGCTCAGCTAATTTTTGTATCTTAGTAGAGACAGGTTTTCACCATATTGGCCAGGCTGGTCGTGAACTCCTGACCTCAAGCAATCCACCTGCCCCAGCCTCCCAAAGTGCTGGGATTACAGGCATGAGCCACAGCGCCCAACCTCATATGCAGGTTTTTAAAATGAATGTTAAGTCTTCATTTATCTGGGATAAATGCTTAGGAATGTAGTTGCTGGAGTGTATAGGAGTTGCCTGTTGCCTTTTCACTAACCTGTTTTCCAGAGTGGCTTATCATATCACCTTCCCATTAGCAATCTATGAGTGATCCAGTTGCTCTGTATCCTCGCCAACATTTGCTGTTGTCACTATTTCTTATTTTAGCTATTCTGACAGTCACGCAGTGATAGCTCACTGTGGTTTTAGTTCCATCCTCTCAATGGCTCGTGATACTTAGCAGCTGGCAGCTTTTCATATGCTAATTTCCATCTGTGTATTTTCATAAAATGGTTCTTCACTTCTTTTGCCCATATTCTAGTTAAATTCTGTTTTTACTATTGAGTTCTGAGAATTCTTTGTATATTCTGGATACTAGTCCTTTCGTTTTTTGTGTTTTGCAGACATTTTCTGTTAGTCTGAAGCCTGCCTTTTCATACTCTTAACAGAGTCTTTCAGAGCAAAATGTTTTGATTTTCAGTCTCGTTTTTCGTATCTTTTATTTTAGCCCTTCTAAGAAGTACGTAGTGGTATCTCATCATTGTTTTAATTCCATTTCCCTCTGCCTGGGCGCTGTGGCTCAAGCCTGTAATCCCAGCACTTTGGGAGGCCAAGGCGGGTGGATCACAAGGTCAAGAGATCGAGACCATCCTGGTCACCATGGTGAAACCCCGTCTCTCCTAAAAATATAAAAAATTAACTGGGCACGGTGGCACGTGCCTGTAATCCCAGCTACTCAGGAGGCTGAGGCAGGAGAATTGCCTGAACCCAGGAGGTGGAGGTTGTGGTGAGCCGAGCTTGCACCATTGCACTCCAGCCTGGGTAACAAGAGCGAAACTCCATCTCAAAAAAAAAAAAAAAATTCCATTTCCCTAATGGTTAATGAGGTTGATCATCTTTTCATGTACCTAACTTGCTATCCTCATATCTTCTTTGAAGGGTCTGTTCAAGTATTTTGCCTATTTTTCCATTGAGGTTTTATTTTTTTCTTGTTGTTAATTTTTGAGCTTTTGTTTTGTTTTTAGAGACAATATCTTGCTCTATCACCCAGGCTGGAGTGCAGTGGTGTGAACATAGCTCACTGCAGTCTGGAACTCCTGGCCTCAAGTGTCCTCCTGCCTTGGCCTCCTAACGTGCTGGGATTACAGGCATGAGCCACCATGCGTGGCCTAAACACCATTTTAAAGAATATCCTCCAGTGAACTGTTTTTGCTCCTTTGTCAGAGATCAAATAGGCATCTTTCGTGTGAGTCTCCTCCTAAATTCTCTTCATTATGTTACATTGACCTATATGACTACCCCTTTACCAATACCATGTCTTGACAGTGAGTTTTAAGGTTGGATGATGTGCTTCCTCCAGCTTTTTTTTTTCCCG